GTATACCCCTACCAATCATGAGCATAAACTTTATGACTGCTGCAGTCAGAATTNTATCTTTTTACCCAGACAAGATTTTAAAACGAAATTTTGTCTTGTCAACCAAGACTACACTTAACCACCTAGCCTATCTACACGTTTTCAGAAACAGCAGATACTTGGCGATTTTATGGCAATGTTTTGATAATGTATTAAGGAAGGATTTTCAAACACCACTTCTAAATAAAATATTCTAGAAGTATTCATCAATAATAAATGGCTTATTTTTTAACTTTTATACAGTTGGTACTTGTCATTACTTATGTTGTTTTTTTCTACTTTCAGAGTTCTACGAATGCTCAAAAACGACAACACTACGGAAGCTAGCAAACCTTGGTGGTGTTCAGACATTGGACTGCAAACTGAAATATCCCCGAGGAAATCCCATACCATATATCATCCAATGGAAGAAAGATGGATTAGCACAGCCAATCTTTATCAAATATGATGGCTACCCTGCTCAAATTCCTCATCATCAATATCGGAATCGCCTGGCGCTAAAGGATGAAGTATCACTGGAGATTTCCCACATCCAAGCTAATGATGAAGGATGGTATGAATGTAATACTATATTTATTGATGGTGCTGAAGAGAGAACTGTTAATGGATCTTGGATATATCTTACTGTACATTGTAAGTACTGCTTTAATTATCTGCAAATAAATCAGATTCATATAATATACTTCTCATACAGTTACATATCCTCAAATATATAAAATTACCCTTTGTTTGAATAGCTACATAATAAAAAATTCAAAAAAATGTTAAGAGTAAGAATTATATTATCTGTACATTAAACACATTTGAATAATGGTTTTATACAGTAAAATTACAAGAAAGAATTGTGAATATTTAAAATACTAGATTTTGACTCCTACAGATGCATCAAGTAGCAACATGCCTTTCGTGTCTGTTTAGATTTGAATCTATTTTCAATTTTTTGTGCCTACCACACATTTTCAATACACAGTCAAAAATTCTGTATATACTGCTGATTGTTTTGATCATGCCAACATGCAACAACTCTGACAAAAATAAAACTTTATATAAACACAGGAAAACCTAAATATTTCTTTCTATGCAATAGGAATACAATCAATCTACCCAAGAGAATTATTTATGAGTTTTATGGTTGTATGTCACTAAATCAAGTTAACAAATTTTATAATGTCTGTAAATTTAATAAGTATCAAAATCTTCTGTGTTGTATGTCAGTCTGAAATAAATTGTTATCTTCATTGAATGCTCCCATTTATTCTGCTGTAAAAAGAGTATATTGTGAAAACAATCTGTTAAAAGTTGGTCGTAATCCTCAAGGACTATAAAATAATCTAAGTCGATTGAGATAATGGTATTTAAAGAATAGGAAAAGTGTAGAGTGCTCAAGTTGAAGAAAGTATTGAAAGAAAAAATATATCCAGGAATGGAGTAATAAATTTCATCAGCACTTTTTTGAATTGATTGAAAGTGATGTGTTTGGCGCATAGTAGGTTTATTAAGCCCAACTAGTTTATGATATTGTTTATAAATCATTATGATTTATTGTTTATTTGATTGTTGTTTGTTTATTATGCTATTTCATTCCTTCGTCATATTAAATAAATGGCATTATCACACACTATCTGGTTTGGATTTATCATGAGAGAGGGTGAGGAAAGGGAGAACACAAATGTAGATTTTTAACTTGTGATCAGAAAGCTATTTAATCCAAGTCCAAACTTTATTTAGTTTGAACAGTACTGTTTGATTACATCAGTAGTCTTACTACTAGGGCATGTCCTAATCATACTCTGTAACTGAATATAGTCCTTTGTTTCGAACCAGGCTCATTCTATTTATCTTTGTGAGGGTCACATCTGTGGTTGTGATGAGATGCTATTTGGAATGTGTACTCTCTAGTCATTCTGAATGTGAAGGCACAAAGTAAAAGATGTAAAAATAAGTTTTCTATAAGAGGCAGGAGATTATATTCTGTTATATTTTTTTCACTGAAGGCCTCAGGAGGATTGAGATCTTGTAAAATCTATATTAGCACTAATTTATATCATTTTCGTCTCTAACTGGAATAATTATGATCTTCTTTTCCATGTTTCAGAGAAATGATATTGAATATTCAATAATGTATCCTTTATTCCAGACCTCAATTTCTTGACAACACTGTCAACATTTAAAGGGATCAGTTTACTGAAATAAATATTATTGTAAATAATACGTTTTGTGTTTCAACCAATCCTGTGGTGTGTGGTTATTTTCTGCATACTATTAATAAAACAACATCCGGGTCATTCTTCAAGAAACCCGCCAAGGCTGTTAAACACTTGTTGTAATTTTGCAGTTTTTAAACTACGATTACCAGCCGTTTACTTGCCGATCGGCTTTTGTTTCTTGTAAGATAAGTAGCATATTATTGTCTGATTAATTTCAGTGTTTGAACGGATCGTGTCAGCGACGAGTTAGTCATAATATTATTAAAAAAAAGCGTTTGGTGCTTGG